AAAGTATTATATATAATTTTTTTGTTCAAAGATATTTGCCTTATTTAATTAATAATTTTCTTACTCAAGTCAAAGTTTAAGGACTAATTAATGATATGGATTAATTATTGAAAGACTATTTACACTTATTNTCCTCACCTTAAATTTTGATTTAATAAGTTGTTTCACTTTAATAAGTTATTAAATATGTCAAAATGTATTTTGTTTTCTATGTATATGTGCGTTTTCCTTTCCTCCAGTTAATCAATTTTTTTAAAATAATATTTTCTCTTGAATATTCTCGCGCCACCCCTCTGGTGTGCTCGCGCCCCCCTAGGGGGGCGCGCCCCACAGGTTGAGAATCGCTGGCCTAACCTGAAAAATGCATCACGTGTCTTGTTCTAATTGTCCATCAGCCATGTCATAATGAAATAAATCTGCATCGTCTTATTCCAGGTGAAAATTAAATTTACTTATAAAATTGCCAAATCCTTATTCCAAAAGTTAAGCTTCATTCAATATGTAAAAGAATGTGAAAGAAAATTATTAATGTAAAAGAAATTATTATTCAAATTTAAGATTGTTTGAACTTCGTTTTTGCTTTATGGTGTCATCAATGAAAGCTATTACTGTGTTTAAGTCAATTTTAAATGGTATCTATTAAGGAAGTAGCTATTTTGTGCATGCAGTTTACTATTTGATGCAATATATGTCACTTTGGGCAATATTATGTCACCTACTCGCTTCGCTCACCGACACTCACCCTTACTTTTCAATCATTTTTGCCTCTTAAGCAGGAATGTTAAGCAGATTGTCCCGTGAAAAGTATTATATATAATTTTTTTGTTCAAAGATATTTGCCTTATTTAATTAATAATTTTCTTACTCAAGTCAAAGTTTAAGGACTAATTAATGATATGGATTAATTACTGAAAGACTATTTACACTTATTTTTTTAGTAGTCAAGTAATTAAGGGAAAAAGGGTGTTATATAGTAATATTGAAGGTGCTTTTTAAAGCAAAGCTTTGTTGTGGTTATTATTAAAATTTGCATCCGATATTGTACCTTTACATGTTCAAAGCAAAGTAAAAGACATACATAAGTCATGTCAAATATAGTACTTTATTTACATAACCAGCTGACTGGTTGGTGAAACCAAGCGAATTTAAGTCAAAGGGTTTATTTCTTTTTTTCAGTGGCTCCAAATATGGTCAAAACTAAGACTTCAACTACACACACACACGTCACATCCCGTTTTATGGGGAGGTTATGATAAATATTTGATATTTCGTACGAAATATATGATGAAGAGAGTAAGAAAAAATACTTCAACGGCTTGAGTAAAGTTTTAAAGTAAAATCATTTTAAAGAAGAGCATTTTCCTGAGTTTCGGTATTTACGATTTTAATAAAGTGTACTAAGAGGAAAAGTTTATGATAACCGTGTTTCTTTCTCAATGGGAGCACCAGAAAACTCAGTATTTTTAACCGAAGCACTACATTAATGATTTTGAAAAATTAACTAAAAAATATGGTTTTACATAAATTTTAAAATACCTTTGACCATAGCAAAAAAATATAAAATTCTTTTAATTTACATTTCAATTTTTTATTTTTCTCAAATTTTTATGTCAATAAATCAGAAATGCCGGAAGAATTACCAAATAATTAGTTTAAGTACCGTATATTTTAATTTTAATAATCAGAAACATGTCTGCTTTTTTACATGAAATATCATAGCAGTACTGAACGGAAATCGTACCAGAATTTTCCTATAAAATAAATTCGTAAATATTTAATTTTTTTTTATAAAAAAAATGTTCTTCATATATCTTAAATAAATCTCGTACACTGCACTGCAATAGAAAAATCAACCTACGCATAAAAAATTTCACAATTGAGATTTATATTTATCTTTTTTAAGATATTGCGAAACAAAATTTTCAAAAAATCAATTTTTTGGCAGTCTTCTGAAATTCTATTATAATGTTGATAATTCCAGCAATGGAAGTAAAATATGTGTGGAGCCATTCTATCTCACTACGCAATTACATTAATTTTTTCAATTGTGTGTCAGAGGAATTAATAAAAAAAACTGTTTCTTTATTACTTATTATTAAATTAAAGTTGGTTTTAATAATAATAAACGGCTATTTTTTAGGAAAACATTGAGTTCTGATCAGGAATAACTTCCTTGGACTTATTGAAGAAGGCTAAAAGCCAGGAAAAAAAATTCCATAGCAGAAGATTTAACTTCAGACCAAAAAATGGCCTTACCCTACAGCGAAAAATTAAAAGTAACTTATTTGGAATTAAGTAATAGAAATTTCATATCGACAGAGAATGCTAAGACAAAGATGCCAAGTTGGCGCTATATTTCTGAGATATTGAACAGATGTTATGAATGATGCAAACACAGAATGCGAAAATTGCATCGGAATATGCACTGGAACATGCATCGGAATATGCTTGTTCAATATCCGGAATGTTCGAAAGTATACAAGCACTAGTAAAACAAAAATCGCCTCAATGCGTCTGGACACATTGCATGATCCACAGAGAAGCTTTGGGTTCGAAAGAAATACGTCCTGGTTTAAATATTGTATTAACTGCGGTTGTAACCATTTCAAATTATATAAAAATGAGAACCCTGAGATCGAGAATCTTTTCTGCTCTTTGTAATGACATGGGTTCANACAGCGGTAAATCCCATTCATCTTTTTTCTTGGATGTTACGATTTACCTCTCCGCACCAAATTTGGTGAATACTCTTCACTCACATCTTAACATTGGGAATTTATATCGGGTGTTTATTGAAAATATACCCCACAGATCATCTAGTTGGGATTTTTTTCAATACACGATAGAAACTCACAATATGAACAACATTAAAAAGGCATTATTATGCAGTTCGGCAAAAAAGATAATGAAGGTCATAGACTGGCTATTAGTAAATGAAAGATTATTTGAAATAATAGTTGAAAAAATATTTAATATATTTTCAACAAGCACCAACGAATATGAACATTTTCATAAATTGGCTAATTGTACTAACTGTTATAATCCATCTCTTGAGGATAGCGAATATTGTACTCTTCGTTACCAAGTGCAAAGTGTGGAAAAAGGAGAATGTAGTGCTAATATATTCACACAAGCGGAGTTTGAATTTCTGAATGGTTGTCACAAGTTAAAGCAATTTTCGATGCTTTCTGTCGCAGATGATTTATTTCTTTTCCTAGTTGAAAAATCAAAAGGAGTGATATATAAAGACGAAATTGAAGAAATACTGCAAGATCTTGCAATAAAAGATGGAATAGGGCAAGGAATTATTAAGTGCAAATCAGAAGAACAATTGCAAATATTAATTATTTGTGTCAAAAATATTTTGTTTATTTTTACAGATATTCACACGGAGATAACTAAATTGAAGAATTTAGAAGTTTTTAAAGAAGTATATAAAAAACAGTGCAATAATTATCTGAAATCTATTGAATATATTAAACTAAAAAAAGCAACAGTGGAATATACTGATTTTTTAAATAAAGCTGACTTGAAGTTTTTGCAAATAATTTGTAAAGTGCATCCTGTAGTTGGAATCAAAAAACTATATAAGCTTCTAATGGAGAAAAAACTTGTCTATGAAGCTAGTGAAATTTTTTTTCTAAGTCTAAAGCAACTTTTTAATTTAGAGCAGTTTTTTGCATTGAATGAATTTGTAAAGATATTAGATAAACAAGCTTCTATGCTATTTGTTGTTGAAAATAATAGTGATCTCAGGAAAGAAGATACGAAATTTTTAATTAACAATTTTATGAAAATATTGAATATTTTAAAAGATAAACAGAAAGTTAAGTTTATTTTATTTTCACCAGAGAAAAATGATTTAGAATATTTCTTAGGAGATAATGCAGAGTTTTATTATGAAATGGACGATAACACGAATTTAAAGTTTTATGATTTAGCGGATGATTCCCAAAAAATACTTTCAAATAAGACAATTTATTTTCAAGGTGAAAGGACAACTTTAAATACATTAATAACAGAGAAGTCAAAACATGTAGTAGATGAAGGAACATTATCAAAATTTATCAACAAAGAAACGATAGAAATAGGGGAAACACTCTCTGATTTAGGTGATATTGAAAACTACTACATCAATCGAATTTTCACACAGTCTACTATTAAGAAAGATATTAAAAATGAATATAAAATGTATGTAACTTATCACGATCGAATTCAAAAATCCACCCTTAATGGAGAGCAAGACATTGTGGTGATTTCTGAAGAAAAAGCAAGTTTTGATGAACTGTGTAAGGTATTTGAAAATCGAAATATTCATTGGCTAAAAGAAGTAGATAGCCAATTTGTATGGCAAAAATCTCAAGGTGCTCTATCAAGATTACGTGATTATATAGATACAGAAAATGTAACTGAATTTCGTGACATAAATGGACGTATAGTAATTATAAGTGCAGTATCTGGAGCGGGAAAATCAACGGTACTGACTAAACTAGCACAAGAGATGAAAAATTTCGATTCTTCTCTGTGGGTTGTCAGAATTAACTTGAATGACTATACAGAAATATTTGCAAATAATGACTTCATTAAAGACAAGGACAAAATTTTTAAATTTCTAATGAACATAGCTGGCTTAAACACACCTCTGGAGCAAGATTTATTTAAGTATAGACTGAATGTTTTTGGTAAAGTCGCTATATTATTTGATGGATTTGATGAGATCGTTCCTAGATACAAAGATAAAGTTGTTGAACTACTAAAAGCTGTAAAACATTCAAAAGTAGAGAAACTCTGGATAACTACTCGGCCACACATGAAAGATGAACTAAAAGATGTATTAAGTGTACTTTCATATAGTCTAATGCCACTATCTAGAAACGATCAGGTGATGTTCATGAAAAACATTTTGTGTAATATTCAGAAATTTAGCATCAAAGAGAACTTTGAGCTTTACGCCAACAAACTACTAGACAAAGTACAACAAACTACTAGACATACCATTACAAACAAAGATGCTGGTTGAAGCTTTTCAAGAAAAAATTGAAACTTTTTATGATCAGTTCAACAAAAACGAATCAAATATATCAATAAAACTAGATCTTATGAACTTATATAGAGCCTTTGTTGTAAGCAAGTACAAAAGGCATCTTTTAGAAAAACAGATATTGGATCTATCGAAATCAGGTTCAGAGTATGACACGTTATTCGCATCCTTCGAGAAAAAATATTCCTTGTTAGCTTTGTGTGTACTTTTCCATGAAGAAGATTTAAATCAGTTTTTGATAGAAGAAGAATTGGAGACGATAAAATTACTCAAGAGACAGATACAAGAAGGTAAAGAAAATTCAGGTTTCATTAGTCATATTGTTGCTGCCAAACCAATGTTCATTCACTTCAGTTTTGCTGAATATTTTGCTGCGCATTTTTACTCGAAGAACATAAAAAGAAAAGAAGTAACTAAATTTTTTTGCCATCAGGTTTATGGAAAAGAACATAACTAGGATCTTTTTCGATCAAATGGTAACTACCGATAAGCATACCTGTAAGATGCACATTGCAGTTTTAAACAATGATATAGAAAAAGTAAAACAATTATTATCAAATGCAGAGAAAGCAAAAGATTTCATTAATGCTGCAGATAAAGTAGGAAGAACAGCACTGCACTTAGCTGCTGCATATGGAAATTATTATTTGGTTTGGACTTTGTTGAATCACGAATTTAGAGCAGATGCTGAGGATCAACTACTTGGTTGGAGGCCTTTAAGATATGCAGATAAAGACGGTCATTGGGTAACTGTTGAATTACTCCTTAGAAAGGGTGCGAATGCTTGTGATATTTGTGAAGCAATAAAAAGCCTTGAAACTTATGATGCTGAGAAAACAAAAAAGACTTTATTACACGAGGTGGCGCAAAAAGGTTTAGTAGATCTTTTAGAGGCTCTGATAGAAAGTAAAATAAATATGATTAATGTTGTTGATGAATATGGGGCCACTGCTCTTCATTATGCTGCATATGAAAAAGTTGCCAATCTTTTAATAAAACGAGGAGCCGATATTGAAGCCAAAGATATGTATGGAGAAGCACCTTTGCACTGGGCTGTGAGGCAAGGAAATATTGGGGTTGTCGAGCTTCTAATAAAAGAAGGTGCTGATGTTGAAGCTAAAGGTGATCTTAATGAGACTCCTCTATTTTTTGCTGGAAGAAAGAAAGTTTTCGAACTTTTAATTGCCAAAGGCGCTAATATAAATGCTAAAAATAGCAAAGGCTCTACACCTCTTCACAGTGCTCTTATGAAAGGAAGGGATGAGGTTGTCGAGCTTTTAATAAGAGAAGGTGCTGATGTTGAAGCTAAAGGTTATCATGATAAAACTCCTCTATTTACATCTAAAAGTAAGAAAGCATTCAAACTTTTAATTACAAAAGGCGCTGATATAAATGCTAAAAGTAGCGAAGGTTATACACCTATGCACTGCGCTGTCATGAAGGGAAGGGATGAGGTTGTCGAGCTTTTAATAAAAGGAGGTGCTGATGTTGAAGCTAAATGTCATCATGATGAAACTCCTCTATTTTCAGCTGGAAGCAAGAAAGTTTTCGAACTTTTAATTGCAAAAGGCGCTAATATAAATGCTAAAAGTAGCGAAGGTTATACACCTCTGCACAGCGCTCTTATGAATGGAAGGGATGAGGTTGTCGAGCTTTTGATAAAAAAGGTGCGGATGTTGAAGCTAAAGGTTATCATGATAAAACTCCTCTATTTACTGTTAAAAGTAAGAAAGCATTCGAACATTTAATTGCAAAAGGCGCTAATATAAATGCTAAAAGTAGCGAAGGTTATACACCTCTTCACAGTGCTCTTATGAAAGGAAGGGATGAGGTTGTCGACCTTTTAATAAAAGAAGGCTCTGATTTTGAAGCTAAAGATTACCGTGATGAAACACCTTTGTTTAAACCTAGTACCAAGAAAATGTTTGAGCTCTTAATTGAAAAAGGCGCTAATATAAATGCTGGAAATAATATAGGTAAAACACTTCTGCACAGTGCTGTTCTGAGCGAAGAGGACGAGATTGTCGAGCTTTTATTAAAAAAGGGAGCTGATGTTGAAGCCAAAGATTGCTTTGGTTCAACTCCTCTATTTGCAGCTAGAAGTAAGAAAGTATTTGAACTTTTAACTGCAAAGGGTGCTAATATAAACGTTAAATGTAGCAATGGGCGTACTCCTCTGCATTACGCTCTTTTGATCATAATCATTAACTTTTATTTTTATGGGAATTATGCAATCAAAATTAATGAAATAANACTGATATGCTTTAAATATCTCAAAGTTTTAATGTTGAGTGTTTAATTAACTTCAACCATTCTACTCAAACTTTGCTGTTACTAAAGGTTTTAAAAAGCTGTTTATATTTTTTACAATTTTGTTAAACTAATGAAATTGTTTTTGTTACCCTTAAATATTTTGATCTAAGACTTCTCTGTGCTATACAACTACTAATAGGAATAAAAACACTTTAGATCAGTTCATAATATATTTTGTAATATTGTAATAGACCAAAGTTTAACTGGAAATTTAGTAGACATGCTATGCAATGCGCGTTAAAAGATATCTATACTCCTACGTTTATTTTTGGTATCTTTTTAAACTGCGTTAATTTCCTCTTAGTCTAAATGCTGCTAACTGACTTACAAATGAATAACTGCATTCATTATTTTTCAAACTCTTTTCTTTAATAATTGGATTTATTTCACGTTGAAGTCTTGGATTTCTTTCTCCTCCCTGGACACATATTACCACTGACATACGACATTATAAGGAAAAGTTATGTAGTACGAATAAATGCGCAAATTAGACCAATTGATTAAAGTAATCATCAGTAAAATTTCAATTTAAATATCATTTAATTGCAGAATTGCGTCAGTTGTTGAAGATGAATAATGTCACAAATTAATTTTTTTCTGATCATAAAAATAACATCGAAACACATTAAATTATTTGCTTATCTTCTCTTCTAGAAGAAAAATAGAGTTTTTTTTGTTCAATTCTAACTTAATAGTAGCAACAACTAACTCTATAGTAGCAATTGAACTTAATAGTAGCAACATTTTTTTTCTTTCACTTTTGAACGTGAGGAAAAATACATTTTTTTGACATATTTAGTTTTGAGATTGTGTATTTTATTTCTTCCTTATGAAATTGTTGACATTAAACACCGTGTGAAGTAAAGTGCAATTCTTCTGTACAATAGGGAAGCGATAGAATGACTGAAAAAGTCGATTTGAACACTATTTCTTCTTCTTTATCTATTACTGTATTTAAATCATTGATTTAATGATAAAAAGAGTCCAACACAACCTTTCCTGTACATAAATATGATTGTAAAAACGCAGAAATGGTTTTTATAATCAACTGCCAAGTAAATTTGTTCTCCACTTATTCTTATTTAAAAAAAAAGTTTTTTAAGGGTGTTAAAGCATAACTACCATCACTATATAAATTTGAATCTTTTAAAAAATTAAATAAAAAATATACACATTTATACGTTAAGCTAAATAATGTTTATGCGATGAAAAAATGAACCCAAAATTGAAATCTATAAGTCACTATGGAGAAGGCGGAACTAAAATTATCAAATCTTTTTGCTTTGTAAAGTTGATGAATGTAACGCTTTCAAGTTTTAGCATTCGACTAGTTTACATACAGTTAGTTCTTCCTTTCTTAATAGTTATTTGCTAGAATTCGATATTGTTTTGCTTTTCCTTGCTGAATTTTAACTTACAAACCCCTATATTTAGATTCTTTTCTGCTTCACTTTCGACTAGGAGTTTAAAAACATGTATAAAGGACTCTGATTACAAAGCAATGTAACAATGTTCAACGAATTAAACATTTTTTGTGCATTAAATTGTGAATATTGTTTGATGTCAGTAAAACAAAAAGCATTGAAAATCTAAATTTTTTTCTGCAATAAATTAACACTATAAAATGTTTTAAATTGAAGAAAAGAACTTCGAATAGAACAGAAAATATGAAACAGAATCATATATTATTATATTAATATTAAAGTAAATATTATATATTTAGGAGTAGAATTTTTTTAAAGAAATATATATTTTAAATATTTAATTTTCAAACGATCAATAATAGTTTAACTTCCTTTTAAAAATTAAATAGAAAAATGTGCTTGATATTTTAATTTTTTTCGTTTTACATAGCGCAGAGTAGCTATTAATTATTAATATGTTATTTTAAAAGAAAATTATGTAATCTTTTACTATTATAAAACATTGATTAGAAAACATTAGCTCTTACTTAGGAAAAAAAAATTTTTTTACTCGACTGTTTCTTTATTTCAAGGTTTTCATTCGTCAAAGATAATTTGAAAAACATGTGATAATTAAGTTATATATTAATTTAATTAGGAAAGCAAAATTGCGTTTCTTCACATTTTTCTAAGTATCAATTCTTTTAATCTCCTTAAATGTTAGAAAAATTTTGAAATTGTGTTTTATTTCTAAGTGATAATTGTCTTTACAAAACCTTTCGCGTAATTTAAAATGATTCGAATCTAGTTAAGTTAAGTGATTCTGCAACAAATTTCAATTAAGAAAACTGATTAACACATCAGCACTCAATTGAGAATACTTCATTAATTAAAATGAAAACATTCATATTAAAAAAAATAACGAAACACAAAAATTATTGAGTTGCTTTCAGATAATGATGATGTGCTGAAATTCATATCCTTTTACATTGGAACGAAGAACTAAACAATAGATTCTGTGGTTTCATGTTGTTATTCATTCATGTTAATACATTATTAATGATGTTATTGTTCATGTATAATGTTATTATTTGTGAATAATGTTATTATTTACGTGAAATATTGTATTATGTATGTATAATGTTATATTATTTAGGTATAATGTTATTAATGTTGTTTATCCATGTTTTTATTAAATACGATCTTCTTGCTATTATGCGGGGGGGTTAGTGTTTCCAAGTTTCAAAAAAGAAGTTCAAAAATAAGTTTTTAACAACGCAAGGTTTTAATGGAATACAAATTCTGTTAAGAAAAAAGTACAAAAAAGCAATGTAAAATGGCCATTCCCGGTTCATTACTGTAGTACTGGTTAAATTGTAGAGAAAGATGAGCTATTGTGTTTTTTAATTTTTTTTTATTATTTTTTTTTATTTATTTTTTTTAATGAAACTTTATACATTATTTCATTCTTGGATTTGAAATATAATTTGAATTAATAATATTATGAAATGAGTTTTTTCTGTTGAGAAATTTTAAAACTACGCTAGTTTATTTTTTTAAACTTAAAATACTTATTGACGAATTCAACTTCCTGAAAATGTGTAATTTTTCCATTCGAGATTATTCCTAACTTTTCATAATGGATCAAATTTGCAAGCTCTGTAAATAAAATTAGAATAAAACAAATGTCACAAGAAACATGTAAGCAAGTGTTCAACCAAATGATTTGTCCATTGATTTAGCCAAAGGTACATATATTTACAATTTTATTTTTGTAAATGAAATATTATTTTTCAAGTATGAAGCTACTTTCGTGTCTAAATTTAAGCTCATTTCTACGAAAATAACACTACATTTTATGTAGTTTATGTTCAATCCTTTATTATGTTTCAATACTTGATCTAAAATAGGTTAAATACCACTTTATTGAGAATTAGTATTCGTTTCATGTTATTAAATATGCTTTTTTTAAATACATTAATTAGCACGTCATTAGTAAACATTATTGAAAACTGTATTATATTTCAAATTCATCATGTATTATGTTATTAATAATTATCATTGTTGAAGATGTAATTGTTAAGTATCGCGTTTTAAATGTTTAAATGCCATGTTATTTATTAATATGTAATGTTCCTAACGGCTTTGTATAAATTTAGAATTATTATGTGTTGTATAATACCATGTTTTTTTTAATACATAATGTCTGCAAATGCTTTTTATAGTTTCAGAAGTTCTATTGTTTTAGTTGTTAAATGCTATACCCAGCAAAAACAAATCTGTAGGTCCAGCTCCACAAAACTGCTGTTTGCCACCAGCTAAAGCGACGGGTCTGTGCCGGCAAAAGTCACTTTCAACTGTACTAAAGTGAATGGCTGGCCTTCTGTCGAGCCNTTAAAATAATTATATTTTTTTTGTTAAATACCCCGCTTAATTCTGAATATTTCAGCCTCATAAATTTTTAGATGTACCGTTATTCCTCTGTTAAAAGCAGTGTTGTTATTAAAAAACATTAATATGGCATTTTAAAAAAAAAATCTAACGAAATGGTGATTCATGGAATGGAAATAACAGTGCTTTTTCAAGGTAAGATAAAAACGGTTATTTTAAAATAATTACCCATATTAAATTAAACTTAAAATGCTTATTTTAAAATAATTACCCATTTTGAAGTAAACTTAAAATGTTTATCTTAAAGTAATTACTCATTCTGAAGTAAACTTAAAATGTTTATCTAAAAATAATAAGATAAATTAAAAAAATTTTACTTTAAAATTGGCTAAAAAATTAGCTACTTTATTAATAGTACATAATATACAGTATATTCCGAATTAAAAATCTTTTTATAATCATTGTCAAGCAATGTTTAAAAAAAGTATACTCATTATAGGAGTGACAAATAAATAATTATTTGAAGGTAGAAAACGCCATCAAATTATAACGGATTATTCTCAAAGAAGATGGGATAAGAAACGTGAAAACATGTTTGATTTCTGGTAAAATATTTTGTATAATATTTTGGTGAAATATTTTTTAAAAAAAAACTGCAATAACAAAAATATCTTTTACAAAGTCTAACATATCATTTCTAAGGAAGCTGGGACGAGAAATGTCAAATCATGCTTGAATACTGGGAAAAATAATTAAGTTATTTTAGAATAATTATTTAAAAAAAAAAGGTTAATCAGTCAATTAAAATTGTTTTAATAGCCTTAAGCTGCTCACTAGTGATTAACTAATCGTAGTTATAACTAGTGGCTCAATAGATTTAGATAGCGCTTTTTTCTCTCTCGCTTAATATGAGTTAATCAACACACAAAACAAAAATTTAAACTTCGTAAATTATCTTAAATTTACGAGCCAAAACATTTTTAGCATACTAAAAATTCAGTAAAAAAAGCATTTAGTTCAGTAAATTGAGTAGTTAATACTCAAATTATGAATACATCAAGAAATGGAATAAATGAATGTGAAAATG